CCAGCTGGGGCTACAGGGAGACCCTGTCTCAAAAAGACCAAAAAAAAAAACAAAAAAAAAAACCCAGAGTAAAAAGCCAGGTGTAGTGGTGCACGCCTTTACTCCTAGCACTTGGGAGGCAGAGAGGCAGGCAAATCTCTGTGGGGAAGTTGAGAATGTAAGAGGAGGATAAAGGAATGGATCATGAGACCTTGATCAGTCCTAAACTATCACTAAATGAAATGATGCTTGCTACCTCTGATCCTAGTTGTCAGTAAACAGCACTTATTCTATGGACAGTGGGAGATGTAGGGACTACAAGGGGTGATTCCTATATCTTAACCAAATTGTTTTTATGACTGTGCTTGTTACTTTTTACTTTACTCAGTAACAGCTTGTGGGGATTAAGTATTTGTTGTTTCCTGCTAAAATCCGGACAGTCTTTTAATACTTTGCTTCTTCTATGCTGGTGTAAAGGGGTGCTATAAAAACTGGAAAGTGAAAATCTTGACTTAGTTTTTACTCAGTTGATTCCTTATCCTATTTAGGGAAGCAAGTAAGAGAAAACTTACTAGGAACAAGCACCTAAACTCCAGGTCTGTTAACATATGAAATACACTGAATTGAGATCCTTCCTGTATCAATTATTATCTTTCACTTTCATCTCAGTGGAAAGGCAGGAGAAATTTTGATAAAGAAACAAAACAACAGCTGGCTCTGGGGATGTAGCTCAGTGGCAGAGCGCGTGCCTAGCATGATCAAGGCTTTGGGTTAGATTCCCCAAACTGCAAACAACAAAAACAGCTAGAATTTTATTGAAATAAAGTTTCCTGACTCCAGGCCATTTTGGTTAACAATAAGACATCTCACATATACTCTACTAGTTAAAGCTACCCTTTATCAGACTACATATGAGACCAGAAGGCTAAACTGATTCACATTCTTTATTTCCATAATGATACTTTTTGCCAAAACTGAACTTCAAGGCTACTTCCCCAAGTCCTCTTTGGATCAAAGAATGCAAAGTAACTTAATATAAACTCAAGCATATAGCTTAAAAAAATGTAAGTCGCTGGGCGTGGTGGCATACCTAGCACTCAGGAGGCAGAGGCAGGCAGATCTCTGTGAGTTCAAGGCCAGCCTGATCTACATAGTGAGTTCCAGGCCAGCTGGGGCTACAAAGAGACCCTGTCTCAAAAAGACCAAAGAAAAAATAAATTGTAAATCTCTGGAGTATGAAAATGAATAATAAATTTCAAATGTGAAATTCTGGATTTCTTTTTCCTCTTTAATCACAATAAACCTGACTGAACTATCTCAAAGCATTTCTAGAGTACTAATTCAGTTGAGGCTGGGTGCAAGATTGACAGTAACAGAATCAGAGAGGTGATAAGATGGCTTAACACGATTGGATTGGCAGATCATCGAAGACCGTGAATCTTGTTTTACTTCACTTGTGGATCTAAAAGGTGCAAGTTGGTTTCTAGGCTACTCCATAGACCAGTAGCACAGGACCTACCTCCTCACAAACTGTGGAAAACCGGTTGAGAAACTGTACAGTGTGCACCACAAATTGGTTTAGAAATGCCACGGTTCTTTTCTGTTGAATAGCTGGCACCTGCGTTGTGTAAAAACAAGCAAACAAACATGATTCTTGGAGCAGAAGCACACGCTGTGCAATCCTTTTGACAGTTAGATTTCATAAAGGGGGTGATTTCGCCTTGTGACATAAATTTCGTGGACTGAGAATAGTCACTGACTCGTTTTCCTAAACCCTGTGTGTGACATGGGCTGTCTAAAGTTTGAAAATGAGCTCCAGAGTCACGATTTCGATTCTAGAAGGTATCCTCCACCTCACCTCACCCCACCCCACCCCACCCCTATTCCAATGTATCTTGAGGGTCGAATAAGAGCATTAGAAGTGGCAATTAGCAGGTCTCCAGACTGCCAACGCCGGGCGTGGAGACACGTGATGCGGGAAGCCAGGCTGGGAGGCACATCCACTCCTGAATTAGCTCAGAAGGAGCCCCTTCAATGGACCGCGCCCCCCACCCCGGGTTGGCAGAAGAGGGGTCCGGTGGGAGGAGTCTCCCTGGAGCCGGGCGAACCCGGCCCGCCTCCTCCCGGTTCTCGGGAAGCTCAACTCCATCTTTTACAAACCTTGGTCAGGTCTATGCCTGACCCCATGAGAGGAAGCCCGTCCTCATCCATTTCCTCAGCGGGTGGGGACCCCGGAGCGCAGGAACACGCCCCTCCCAGATGAAGGCCACCCAACTGGGTACAGAGCCGGGTCCCTTTCCCAAGTCCCCGCCTCCGGGACCTTTCCGGAAGAAAGCACCTCCACTCACCAATCAATTGGCGGCTTCGTAGAGCCCGCCCCTTCGCTCGGCATTGTGGGATGGGTAGTTCCTGACCCTGACTGTGCACTTGGTAGGGAAACCCTGCAGAAGAGCAGTGTGCAGGGCTTTAGCTGAAATAGTGGGAAAGAAAGAGAAAAAGGGGAGATGGAAATTGAGAAAATCAGAAAGCTGAGCTGCATCTATTTGAGGTTTCCCCCGCTTGACCCTTGTAGCTCTACAATTCACTGAAGAGCAATCTCTTTTTTTGTGTAATCCTACTAAGTCCCAGGTACTCGGCTAGGCCTTGTGAGGAAGACAAATTGATCAGAGCGAGCTTGCAGTCCTGAAAGGCTGGAGACTATAACGTCTGCTTTCAAAAGTGTTTTTTTTTTCTGTGTGTGTGTGTGTGTGTGTGTGTGTGTGTGTGTGTGTGTGTGTGTGAGACAGGGCCTTGGTATGTAGCTCTGGTAGACCCGGAACTTGTTAGGTAAATCAGGCAGGCCCTGTAGCCCCAGCTGTCCTGGGACTCACTATGTAGAAAAGGCTGGCGTTGAACTCCCAGAGGTCTGCCTGCCTCTACCTCCCAAGTTCTGAGATTAAAGGTGTGCGCCACCACTCCAGGCCCAGCATATCAAGCTACCGCTGAGACACCAGGCTATGAAACTGATTGCTGCTTAGGTCATGGAAAAGACATCTGAAAAGATTTTACTCCTGGAGTTTGAAGATCTTGGTTCAGAGTTTGTACAGTTTCCCAGCTATGTGCCTTAGGACAAAGTCACCTAGCCAGAAGTTTAAACCCTATTTATACACACCAAACAAGTACTGAAAGGATAGGACAGCCTCTGCCTTCAAAGAATAATATAGGGAAGACATGCAGAATTTTGATGTACAACATTCAGACAGATGTGTGAATAAAATCCTGTGAAAGCTGTGGAGCTCCAAATGGACACACACACAATGTACACGTGCATCCACACGGATGCAAAGTGCAAGGTTTTGTAGATAAAAGGAGTCATTCAAGAAAAGAAGAGAAGGCAGATTTTAGTAGCTACTCAACATTAAGGGGAGCTCAGGGGAGCTGACAATGTGTGCTGGACCTCTGTATAAACAAAGGCACAGAGGCATGAGCGTATGGTATGCAGAGCAAAGGGAAAGCTATTTGTGGTGTAAGCACACATGCCCAGCAATGGAAAATAGTGGGAAATAGGCAGAAGTAGACACAGAAAGCTAACGAAGGGCCTTTTATGCCAGAACATTAGTCCATGTTTCTCTAATTGTGATCTATGAGCCACTTGTTGGGAGTGTTTCTTAAAATGCCCATTCCAGAGATTAACCACAGATAAACCAAACCAGGGTCTCTTTTGGGTAAGCTTCAATATATGCATTGAAAACAACCCTACTCTCTGAAATTGTTCTGGCCCAAAACGGTTGAAATTTATTTCTATAGCTGACGGGAGCCATTAAAAACTTCCAATCACTAAAGTGAAATGGTTCCAGTTATTTTGGAGACAGTTTCAGTTTCCACTACATAGCTCAGGCTGGCCTCGAACTTGAAGTACTTCTGCAACAGCCTCCCAAATACTGGCTGGGGTTAAAGGCACATGTGCCACCATATCTACCTATGATGTAGAATTTTATAAAAAATCTCTGCAGTGCACAGAGAAGTATGATAAATGTTGGAATCAAATAAAGCTGATTGTAGTATTTGCATGTATAGACATGGGGTATACATGGAGGGATAGAATGAGACATGCTTTAGTATGTGACCAGCTGTATGTTCCCAGATCTTTTAATGTTATATTTCAATAAACACCCATGAGTTATTTATAGTTTCTCAGTGCAGTCTTCCTTTGGAATTATTAAAAATTCAGTTCCAGACCACTACAGTGGTACACATATTGCAATAGATGAGGTCACATGAGTTTTTCATTTCCTGGCATATACGTTATTTACACTATACTGTAGTTTGCTAAGTGTGCAAATAGCACTGTGTCTAAAAAAATGTGCATGCCTTAATTAAAAAACGCTTTATTGCTAGAAAATGCTGACAAAATGCCTTCAATGGGTTTGAATTTTGTGCTGGTGGAGGGTCCTGCTTCAAGATGATAGCTGCTGACCAATTAGGATGGTTGGTGGGAAAGACTAGAGCAGATGTGACAATTTATTTATTTATTTTAAATTTTATGTATTTGAGCGTATTGCCTGCATCTGTGTAAGTGTACCCGTGTCATACAACGGAGGTCAGAAGAGGGTGTCTGATTCCCCTGGAACTGGAGTTATGGACAGTTGTTAGCCTCCATGTGGGTGCTAGGATTTGAACCTGGGTCCTCTGCAAGAGCAGCCAGTGCTCTTAACTGCTAAATCATCTCTCCAGCCCCAGATGTGATAGTTTCTTAAAGTAAGCCAACAAATAAGTTTGGTTCATTGATTAACTGTTATCCTCATAAAAGATTAATCTGTATGCGAAGCCATTTGCCAGTACTTTATTCATAGTAGTAAGAACATTTTTTCAACATTGGAGTCTATTTTCTCAGTACCGGCTGATGTTTTAAGAACTAAGTTTGTATAATACTCTGAATGCTTTCTTGTTTCCACAGTGTTTCCTACATCTTCTCCTGGAACAGATTCCATCTTGAGAGGCTACTTTTTTTGTTCATTTGTGAGAGGCAAATCCTCATCTGATAAATGTTTGTCAAAAGATTGTAGCAATTCAGTCACATCTTCCTGTTCCAGTTCTACATCCAGTCCTCTTGCACGTCCCACTACATATGCAGTTGCTTCCTCCACAGAGGCTGTAAATCACCAAAGTCATCCATGTTTTGGAATTAACTTCTTGCAAACTCCTCTCCCCTCTGTTTTTGAGACAGGGTCTCATGTAGCTCAAGTTAGCTTCAGATTCACTAACTAGTAGAGGATGACTTTGGACTCCTGATCACTGACTTGACCTCCTGAGTACTGGGATTACAGGTGTGAACCAACTCCTCCAGCTCAAATTCCTCTTTAATGCTGACATTTTGACCTCTTCTCATGAATCAGAAAATTTCATTAGTGGCACTTAGAATGGTGAATCCTTTCTTTTTTATTTTGTTTCTTGGTTGTTGTTTTTTTTTTGTTTTTTTTTTTTTTTTTTTTTTTTTTGGTGTTTTTGAGACAGGGTCTCCCTTTAGTGGGGGCTGGTGGCCTGGAACTCACTATGTAGACCAGGTTGGTCTTGAACTCACAGAGACCCACCTATCTCTTCCTCCCAAGTGCTGAGACTACAGGTGTGTGCCACCACGCCCTGGTGAAGCCTTTCTTTTTTTTTTTTTTTTAATCTTATTTATCAATTTTATGTGTTTTGGTATACTGCTTGCATGTATGTAAGTACAACCGTGTCATGCAATGTCCATAGTGGTCATATAAGGGCATCAGATTCCCCTGAAACAGGAGTTATGGAAGGTTGTTAGCTGACATGTGGGTGCTGGAAATTGAACTGAGTCCTCTGCAAGAGAAGCCAGTGCTCTCAACCGCTGAGCCATCTCTCTTGCCCCATGAATCCTTTCTTGAAGACATTCAGTTTACTTTGCCAAGATGTATTGGAGGACTTGCTGCCTATGATTGTGGCCTTACAAATGTTTTTTTCTTTCTCCTTCCCTCCCTCCTTTGTTTTCTCCCCTCCCTCCCTCCATCTCCTCTTCTTTCTTTCTTCCTTCCTTCCTCTTTCTTTCTTAATTTCTTTCTCCCCCTCCCTTCATCCTTCATTTCTCCCCCCTTTTATCCTTTCTTCCATCTTTCCCTCCTTCCCTCTCTCCCTTCCTGTGTTCCTTTCCTTCTTCCCTCGGTCCCTTATTCCCTCCCTCATTTTCTCCTTCCCTCCTTCTGTTTTTGAGACAGGGCCTTGCATAGTCCATGTTGGCCTCGAATTCACTGTGTAGCCCACAGTGCCCTTGAATTTGTGATTTTCATGCCTCTGTTTCTTGAGTTCTGGGATTACAGGTGTGTATGCATATTTATTCAATAGTAAGACTTGAAAATAAACATGACAGCATATCCACAGGCTGCAGCATGGATGACATGTCAACAGACACAGAATTGTTAAACTCGTTGCTCATCTCCTTTAGAGCTCTTGAGTGACAAGTGTTATTCTCAACTAGCAGCAATGTTTTGAATCTTTTTTCAAACTCTGATTAGTGGGTCTCAACAATGGGCTTGAAATTGTTTGTAATTATGTTGTAAACAGACACGATGTCATCTAGGCTTTGTTCCATTTAGAACATAGGCAGAATAGACTTGGGCCCTGGATTTTTCAGAATGGTAAATTACCATTGGCTTCAACTTCAAATCTCCAGCTTCATTAGCAAGAGAATCAGCCTGGCCTTTGAAGTTTTCACAACAGGCTTTGACAGCTCTGTGGCTATGAAAGTTCAACATGGCATCTTCCAGTAGAAGGCTATTTCATTTGTGTTGAAAGCCTGTTGTTTAGTGTAGTCACCTCCATCAGCTGTGTTTTCTAGACCTTCTGGGAAACTTGCTGCATCTTCTACATCAGCACTTGCAGTTTCTCCTTGCACTTTATGTTATGAAGACAGCTTCAGTCTTCAGACCTCATGAACTCAATTCCCTCTGCTAGCTTCAGATTTTTCTTTTACAGTGTTTTCTCATCTCTCAATTTTCACAGCATTGAAGAGATTTGAGGCCTTGTTCTGGTTTAAGCTTTGGATAAAGGGAATATGGTGCCTGATTGGATCTTTGATATAGAACATTATCCCCATGTTAATAATGAGGACATGTTTTCTTTCTTCTTTATTTTTATTTTGTTTATATGAATGTTATGCCTGCAGGTGTGTAAGTGCATCCGTGTCATAAGTGCATCCCTCAGAAGACAGAAGAAGAGTTGGATTCCCTGGAACTGGAGTTACAGACTTTTTTAGCTGCCATGTAGGTGCTGGGATTTGAACCCCGATATTCTTCAAGAACAGCCAGTGCTCTGAACCGCCGAGC